ATATATATTATATATATTGTATATATACAATATATAATATTATATATGCTATACACTTCTTTTTATGTTATTTTAAAAACTAAAAGTTTCGTAGATATTATTAATAATCCTTACACACGAATTCTACACATTTCTTTTTTTTAATATTATTTAAAAGCCAGATAATCAATTATAACATTTATATCGAGAGGATAATCACTAGCTGAAATATTGTCCTACTGATTATATGATTTTATATAATTTCTGATTACATATAATTTTTTTGACTACATATGAAGTTATTTGGTGAAATGTACGATTTTATTTAATAATATCAATACAATGATTTTTCGTGGTTGCATACGTAATTCTCGGATTATACATAGAGATTTCATACAAATTTTATAATTAAAAATATGTTTCCGTATATTTCGAGGACTCTGTCCCACGATTACATTAAGTGATTATCTTCTCGATTTATATTATATACAATTTTTTTAAATACATGATTTTGCGAATATTTTTAGAAGATGTTAAGTATATGTAAGAATTGTTTAATAATTTTTGTGCGCTTATAAAAGTAATTCAGGACACAAAAATTAAATCATGATATGACCCATCGCGAGTAGTAAAGGACTGGAAAATCATCATGTATAATAATGATTAAATAATATTTACCAATTGTTGAGTGCATTAATTAAAATTATGTTCCTATATGTTTCACTTTATTTGCAAAATACACTCTAAGTTATTGTAGCAATGCTCAATAATTGTGGTGGAAATTAATTTGAAATATGATTCATCGTGCATACTAAGGTTAAATAATATTTGCTAATTGTTAATTAAAAATATATTTCCGTATGTTTTGATTTCTTCGCAAAATACAATTGCGAGTTATTGTAGAACGTTCAATGATTGTGGTTGATATATTGTAGATTAAACTTTACGTACTAAAACGTAAAAGTTATGAAGTGATTTTATTAACACGCAGGGAAACGAGTATTCTTTTACCTTGTGCTGATTGCCAATTGTTCTTTAATTGACTCGGTCGCATGACAACGCTCTACTCATCGTTAGAATGACGTTTGTGTCGCATGAAATATTAATAACCAAACTTTGTGATAAAGTTAAAAAATTAAAAATTTTTGTGTCGTTTAACCGAGATATGCAAACGCGAACTCATCATGTCTGATCAAATGCATAGAAATGTTGCGTGCTGCGTGATTTCTATTTTGCTGAGTACATTGCAATCATGTTCTCATCTCGTCCAACGCGAGTCTTGAGATTATTTTTCACGGAAAATCCCTCGGACTTTGCGATGCGCCGATTAACGACACACTGCAAAAATCAGCGAAAATACGGAGTCGACGAATAAAACATTTGTGAATAAAGCTCAATGAGACGCAGAACGCGGACGCAAAAAGTTGGATGAACTTCAATTTTCGCGTCCTGCGTCTTGTATCCTACGTATTGCAGTCTGCGACCTATTACAATCTGAAATACGTTTTATTTGGACTTGCGACCTGCGTTCTGCATCTTATGTAGATCGGGCTTAATGCGTCTCGCGTATTTTTGCGCTGCGGGCTGTCGACGTCGCGTCGTAGGGTTTGAATTTTCCATGAATTAGCTGGAATAGTAACTGTACGAGAATTTCTTCGTGTACTGGTTAAATTCCGGATGGGTTAGTTCAACGCAAAATGCACTTGTGCTGTTTTCTCGTGCTTCTCCGGTAAAGTGTTGGATAAACGGACAGATAAGAGTTTCATTCGAAATCTTCAAGTATTCTTAAGATTATACGAAGAATCGGAGAAACAGTACGGATGAACACTGTAACCGCTCATGCGAAACTGAAAAATAATCTTGAAAATGATTTTGTTCGTACAACGTATAGTGTCATATTAGCACTAGAGACTAACCTAGGGTATGTGTAGGAGCGAGCTCCGTTATTTGTTGTATTGGTTTATGATTCATATTAGAACTTGTTCAACTTGTCCATAGTTCAGGAGAGGCGGCATTTTTTGAAAAAAAGTTTTAAAAAAATAACCATTTTTTGCCACGCGAATGATTAAGACAATTTTTCATCGATTACTAGAAGTTTGTTGCGTTTCATGTTCCAATATGCTCCTATTATAGCTCCTCATTTCAACAAGCGCATTGGGTAAAAAAAACGTATATATGAAATGAAGGGGGAGATCCCGTTTACCTATAAATCGATTGCCTACAGTATCGTTTACCTACATCACTTTTGCCGACTGTTCGTTTGCACGCAAAATTATTGCGCAAATGTGCATGTAGGCAATAGAGCTGTAGGCAATAATACATATAGGCAATCAAACTGCAGGCAATAATACATGGAGGCAAAAGTAACTCCGTTTCTAAAATTTTTATTTGTGTGCAAAAAATGCATGTAGGCATTCGAGCTGTAGGCAATAATTTTTGTATATATATTTCTATAACCGTAACCTTAAGACTTGAACTTAAGCCAATCAGGATACTGCTTTAGATCTACGTACTCTAACGGAAATAGAAATGGCAGTAAACTTACCCATAAAACGAATTTTAATCGGTTAAAATTCGCCTTATTGAGAGGTTATGTATAAGTTTACTTCCATTTCCTAGGGGTGGCAAAAACTTTTATCCGGCTCTGATGACGTATGATTCATTGTGTTATTAGAATTCTAGAAGGGCAATATTCTGTAGTTCTCAATCGTATTCTATTCCAATATGTTATGATTATTGTTTCCGCAAATCCGTTATTTGTTGTGATGGTTTATGCTTCATATTAGAACAGTTTAACTTGTCCATTATCAAGTCGTAACCGGGAATAGCTATGAGAATCGAAGTAACCACAACCGCACAGATGGTTTCGTTTGCCGCAGTTTCAGAGAAACTGCCATTTTCGGTAAACTCTATTGCTTCCGGCAATATCATTGCTGAGCTTCAAACGAAATCATTTAACCTTAAAACTTATTTTACACGCGACTCCACTTAAGATGCTACAAGTTTTGCTCTTTGGACATAAAATGGATATAAATTTTGCAAAATTTCTTTAGAATTTCTTATTAATTACTTTAATCCTCTGTCACATTCTTTTATATTAATTGATTAAATATTGACTACATACTGAAAGATATTAAAGATTTTAAATTATTTTAAAAACTTAAGTTAAGCAATCATTAATTCCTAATGTATAATTTTTTTTTCTTTTTGTAAGATAATTATAGGATGACGCACGAAATGTCAAACTATTTATTTGTTTACCTTTCAGGCTTTAATAATCAATTCTATAATTAGTATCAATTTTATTAAAAATAAATGTGTCATATATAAATCGAATAATATAACATTTTGTACGCCACCCTGTACATTAAAACGTAATTAGCAAAATTGAAAAATGTGTTATTTATTTTTTAATGATTTTTCATCAATGAGAAATTAGGATTAAGATTATTTACCAGATATTAAGATGCTCGTGATTTCTGCTCATTTTTACTGATTGAAAAGAAAATGCGATGAAAAAAGTAGTTTATTTGAAGGAGACATAAGCTTTCCATATTATTAAACGTTCCGTGCTTCATTGTTCATTTAATAATTAAAAAAGGAAATAAGTAGAACCTAGAATTGTTCTTTTAAATCCTACTGTTATCTTTAATGAAACTCTTAAATGAATACATTAAATATGATTAGTAAATTAAATAGATATATTCTTAAATAGATGCATTAAAATATTTTACTTTATATTCTCTACGTGATACTTTAAAAGTTTTATCGATCTTTTGCACTAAAAGTACAATCAAAACTACATTATGGATTAATTTTATAATGATTATAAAATTCATGTATTAATTTTTAACGATTACAGTCGAATTGTATTATACATGATTTCAATATAGTTATAAATATTTATATGTTTTTAACAATTATATGTTTTAAACAATTATAACATGTAGACTATTTCGCGAAAAAAGCCAAATTTTGTTTTAAATGAAAAATTAACTTTATCATGCTTCTGTGAGATAAAAATAATTGTGCTAGAGAATCAAAGAGATATATAGATAGTTTAGCAAAAAAGAAAGACAGAAATAAATAAATAGATGTAGAGGGTTTATTATTGTTCTAGAGCTGCCCTCTAAGAATAAACAAATTGAAGCAAATAAATAGAGAACAGAAAAAATTTACAAAAATTAAAGAAAATTAGTTACAAAGAATAGCAATGAGTTTAACAAAAATAGAATAATATAAAATAAAAAAATAAAATACAAAATATGATAAGTAAAAGAGAGAAAAAGAGAAAAAGAGAAAAGGAAAATCAGACAATATCATCTCGAATATAATTTCAGTGTACGTAGCGAGAATAGAATGATTTTGCGCATACAAAATGTTGACCTGCCTTTTCTGAAACCCGTTACGTATGACCTACGGCGATGTTTTATTTTGCAATTGTACCGATCCGATTACATCGCTCGCGCGTGATATATATCGAGCCTGTTTGTTTGCAGAGAGGGAGATCTGGTATGAAACGGCAACGCGAGCGATCGAGACGCGGATCAGAGAGGCAGCGAGTACCAGCGTCAGCGGCACGACGCTGCCGACTGGGATAGCACGTGGTGTCGTCCTCTTCGTCGGCGACGGCATGGGAATGAGTACTCTCACAGCAGCGAGGATTCTCGCAGGTCAGCGTCACGGAAACCCGGGTGAAGAGACCCAACTTGCGTGGGAGAGCTTCCCGGCAGTAGCGTTGGCGCGGGTGAGCACGAGAAAACGCAGATCGCTTTTCATCTTTCTCCTCCTTTTTGTTTTTCTTGAAAATGTGGCACGTAAAACCGTTGCTTTACGTGCATCAAATTTGTTGCGGTAAGTCCGAAGTAGGAGCATGCAAATCGTTGAAGTGGTGCACGTAAGACCGATGATTTACATGTTGCGCTGAGTTCACGATAAATTGGAAATTGACAAATGTCTTTCAACACAAACAAAAAATGGCGTTTCGTAAAATGAATTTTACTGTTAAAATCCAAATTTCTGATATGCACAACAGTTGCACAAGTCGAATGCAGTTTCGCTTTTAGGATAAACTTTATTTTAGTATTCTATATAATAAAATACTGATTTCATATATATGTATATATATTCACACATTACTTATTTAAAGATTAATTATCTTTGCGATGGTCAAATATGTATATGAACAAAAAAAATTCTAATTTTTTTTATTAAAGCTACGCTTTGTTTTATTATATTTATAAATATTATTTATATTTTTTGTTATATCTCTCTTAATAAAATAAATTCGCGTTTTTGTTTCGTTTTTGAGAATTTTGTGTGTAAATAATCAATAACGAGTATATTACTCCAGTTCGCTCGGGTATTTGACGTCTTGTTGTATATAACCCCTCTTGTTTACTTGGCAAATTCCTCGGCAAAGTTAAATTTTTCTTTGGCAAAAATTGGATCGGATATTGTTTCCCAGAATTCAATTTTTCGCATGAAATAGTTCAAAAACTATGCATAAAATGAAAATTCTATATTGAGATAAAGTATACGGAAAATGAGGTGAAAATGATATTTTGTCATTTATTTACGATTATTATCCGATTAAACTTTAATTTCCAATATCGTTTTTAATTAACAAAACCTGCTACTTCTCTCTTTCTTTTTCTAGAAATATCTTGTTAAATTAGATTTTTATGATTAAAGCGGTTACAATACATATGCCTACACGATTTATGCAGATTATACCGCTGAGAGCTATCACGTATATAAGTGTTTTTTTTTATCGGGACACAGATAATCTCGAGAATTGCTGATGCTCGTATATAGGCACAAAGGAAAAATCCAATGTGCTGAATTCACTTCGTTAAGGCAGTAGGATATTTGCATGCAAATTTAATCGAAACGTGTTTGCACATGCTTCTATGTAGAAAGATCATAGATCGTTTATTCGTATTTTAATTAAAATCACGTTAAACGTCGTGTGTCTGATTTTCTTTTGTTTGTTCCGGATATTTTCTACAATGCGCACTGCAAACAAAAGTATTCGCATATTAATATTTGCCTCGCACTTAATTAATGTGGTTAATATGAAATCTGTTAATATTGTTTTTCTTTTGCCAATGAGTTCGTTAAAACCATTCGCTTTATTTTTCCATCTCTTAATATATGTAAAGGTTTTTTCGAAAAGTCAAACTAAAGGGAAATATTTAAAAAATATAATCAATATAAATATAACAATAATGCGTAGTTTTAATATAATTCATAATTTTTATTTATATACATGTTTGACCATCGATCATTAGAAATAATAAATTAAATATCTAATAATCGACATTTTCTTTCATTTTCTCTAAAGGTTTGCAGATAGAAAAAAAATTTTTCCGAAGACTTCTCAGGATTGAGAAAACCATTATTACTTGAAGATTTATTTATCATTGGTACTCCCTCATTATAACAGAATTGAAAATTTATAACAGATTTTCTATCTGTCGGTTTTCATAATATTTATTTATTACTTTCGCAAAGCGAAGATTGCCTGAGAATAAACACTCGAATACTTCTTTTGATCTTTTAACAAGTGAAAAAAAAGACTGAACAGAAATAAAGAATAAGTATTGTCGCAAATCGAAATTGTCAAATGTACTTATTATTCTAGAAAGATTCGTCATACTGACAATAAGAAATCTTAATTCATTAAAATAAAAAAAAATAGTTTATTTTTTAGAATTTTATGCAACAGAAATGTAATACGCTATCTTTTATAATTTAATGTATAATCTTTTTCTAAATTTCAAAAATATTGTCTCAAATTTATCGTGTTTAAATAAAAATACACTGATTTATTTTACACTATTTTAATGATAAAGTAGAATATTATTTGAGCTAATACAGTTTCAAGAATTTTAATTTTTCTAATGAAATGTTTGTGTAAGATAAGTTAAGGGAAAAAAATCTCTTTTATATATAGTCTCTAATTTTAACTGAATTTTTTATCTTAATAGAAATTTAATTCAAGATTTATTCATTAAAATGTTCTGCTTCAAGAATAAAATGCATTTCTCAAGAAATTTCCATTAAAAGATTAACTTTAAATGTATCTCACACAGCATCCACAGATTATTCGACTGAAAAAATATCGAATAATATTTCCATGGCTGTATGAATACGTGTTTATTGTATAATATAGATTACACGGTATAAAAAACGAAACAAAAGACTAAGTATGTAGAATATTTTTTAAATAATATGTGTTATTTGAGAATTAATATTATCAATAATAGAAATGCATTTTTTTATGGCATTATCATTAAATACCTTTTATGATTTTATGATTTTTACGATTTTGTTCTAATTTTTTTTCTCATTTAAATGAAAAGCCACAGTTTTAAGGTTGTCTTAAGAAAAATGATAATAATTGTACTTAAAAATAATATTAGAAATATTAGAAATATTAAAAATAATATATTAAAAATAATAATTATACGTACATGATATAACTATTCTAATATGTAATTGTTACATAAGAGCTATCCCTTTCAGGTCATCGTATTATACATAACATAATACGTAGAATAATTTTGAAAAATGTGTATCCAAGATCAAGGTTTCACATTTTCCAAACTTGAAATTATACCTGACGTGTTACAGCGATCTGTTGTCGAAACTTGTTTTCTGTAGAGGAATTCAAACATCCATCACGTATGAAATCGGTGTTTGTGCACAAATGCGGCCGTATACATGTTACACATATATGTTATCTCACACGTTCGTTGTGTATCTTTCTGTTTTCCATCTACCGTGTCGGGCATGGTTTCTTCATACTTTTCGTTCTCAGAGGCGTATTCCGAAGCTATCAAGAAGCCATGGAGCACGAAACTTCTCCGTAAAGTCCCAACAGGATTTTGACACTCTAACTGTGCATTGATTACAGACGTACTTATAACCTGGTTGATATAATCTCGCTTTCTGTTCTTTTGGACCGAAGTTGAAGCTTTTGAATTTATAGGACTTTCAAAGAATGTAAAAATGCGCACATATGACGTTCAAACTTTACCGAAAATTTTCTTTTATAATTTAACTGGGTCATCTCTCCACTTTCTTATGGCGAAAAGTGCCTCGAGACGTTATATAAACTTTTGTACTTTCGCACCCTCTTCAAAATTTACGTTTTTTTAACAGTAAGTTAATTTGCACAAATATCGATTTTGCCGTTGCATTATCTCTCGATGGTGGGGAGTAAATATTATCTCTGTGAATTGAAGCGCGTTTGCGGTCCCATGACGTGCAGAACCTTTTCTTCACCTCATAATTTTTCTTGTTCTTTGTCAAGTAATATTATTGTTTCTCATTCCTCTCTACAGCCGTTCCTAGCACTCTTATCCCTCGGTGATGCACCTGGGAAGAGTTGTTGGTTAGGAACAAAGTTTCTCGAATAGTCTCTTGGGAACTCTCTTGAAAGACTAGACTAGTGTTGATAGGAGACTTGTTTATTTTCGTTGCAAGCAAGACAGCGTATACGACAGTCTCTAAACGAAAATATAGTACAGACTGTATATCTAAATATGGATTTTAGTGCCATGTTTAACTTGATAGTAACTTGGCCATTATAACCACTGTAACCTAAATTTGTACAACATGGTATAAAATTTTATTTGTCTTCAGAAATATATATACGAGTATGTATATGCAAATATCATTTTCTTTAGATTACAATGCAAATATTGATTTCACTTAATCCTAGAATTATAAACTAATTTGATGCATGTCGTCAAATTTATGATAGTTTATGATTCTGGAGTTAATAAAAAAATGCACTAATAAGTCGATTCTTTGTTTGCATAATCTTAGTTAAAAAATTACTACATTTAAACCTACCTGAGAAGACTGTCCTCGAAACTTTAATTATTAATAACCTTTTAACCGGAGAATACAAACAAAAAATCGACTTATTTTGGAATGTACAAATGAAAATCTATCCATTGAGACTAATTAAATCTAATTTGCTCATAATTGGGAAAAGCTAGTGTAAAATTAGTCCTACAAAATTGTTTTTTAAATAACTTTTTTATCAAAAGTGTGGAAACAAAAATTCAAAATATAGTTAGTTTTATAGAATTTTCTATAAATATAGAAAGTTAATTTTTTCAAAAGTTAGGGACTAATTTCACACGAGTTTCCTTATTTGGATCCTTGGAATTTACAAATTGATTATTAGAATTTTCACTTATTGATTGGAAAAAGGCATCAGAACTTTTTTCCTAATTTATGTCTATTTTCTTGTTTCTTACTGCACTTGAAAAGGATTCAAGAGAATTGTTGTTGTCGAAACGTTTGTTTTAGCTTGTGAATTTTATGTGATGTTAAATATATGTATATATTATATATATATAAAATTTCGACACTAGTAATTGCTATGGTTTCTATGAACACTTAAATTTACTTTATTAAAATATATTTTACATTAGTCGTGAAATAAACGTTTTATTTTTTAATGTCTTTGCATGTAATCATGATATGTGATAGATTGTTAACTTTAAACATTACCCGATTATCAAATTACATGACACCTGTACAATTGGGTATACACCTCGGTAGTGCGCCGCGCATCATCGGTCTAACGATTTATTGTCGAAACACGTAGCTTGTGACATTTATCAGGATAATAATTAATTGAGGGTTATGCAAGGGTGGATGCGGATGACTAATGGCTAAGTCATCTTGGCGTATTGAACTGACATCGATCACTCACGTATTTGCTATCTCTTCGAAATTCCTGCAAAATATAAATTAGAATTTTACTGTTTTTCAGAAATCTTTATAGATAATCTGCCATGAATAGGATAAATTTTTCTCGATTTCACCGCACGTGAATTATCTGCAAGATTACGAACTCCACGATGATTTTTAGAGCATTTTATGGTAAAAATTGGGAAATATTAATTCTTTATATGATTCTTTTTTTCGATACAATATATTGCGAACTATACACAACAATATATAAAACTTAAATTTTTCGCATTTCTTTTAAAACTTTTTAAATACCAATAATTTTGAAATACATACTTGTAAATTCTACTATAT